TAGGCCTTGAGACGAGCTGACCACTCGCCCAAGGAGTCCCACCGAATGTGTAAGATCTAGTAAACCGAAGTGAAACGGAGAGTTTCATGGAGGTAGGCCCAGGCCCAAATTGGGGCTGTAGCGCCACAGAAAAAAAAATGGATTTGGATTTAAGAATGCCGTCTTCTTGGATGTGGTGCCGTGTAGATATTGTGTAAACTGACGTTTCGGAGGAATGTATCGCCTCCATCTTCAGGGTATAAAAATCCTCAAGTGAAGAACCCGTGTGAGCAAGTGGCTGGTTAGTTACTTGTAGTTGCTTTTTGTAAGGGTTCAATAAATCCAATTACCGATCCAAAACCCGTCCACAGTCCCTCATACATTTGATAACTTACAGCCTTAAGGCTCGAAGCTATGAACATATCAGAAAACTTACTGGACTTAAAACAGATGAATTACTGTATCAGCAAAGCACAATAGACCACTGCAGGTCGCGGTGCAAGGGCCGAGGAGGCCTACTCCTCATACATGCATCAGGATGGTGCAAATCTCCGTAAATTGTGGTTTTTTGCCTAAGTGGTCTGTATAAATCTAGAATGATACGATGGTCAGAACATGTAGCATGAATGTTGGCTATGAAAAATGCTTCAACATTTCCTTGGTGAATTCTCGAGTGTGTAGATACCGTATGGGATGTTATGAAACAGTAAGTTAAGTAAAGTAAAGTAAAGCTATCCCTGTACCAGGCCGTGAAGGCCCATAGGGTTGTGAGACGTTGAGGCTCCCTCACTATCTAGACAATCGGCTCATAGATAGCGGTAAGGTTGTCAGCCTTACGCGCCGGCCGCGCTTTACTCCCCAGGAATATTATTTTAATTAATTTCTGGTACTGCGGAAGGTAATATTAAAATGGATTTGAGAGAGTGTTGATTGAAATCTGTTGTCCCAGAATAGCGTGCAATATCACGCTTTTGTGAACACGCTCAAGAACTTCAACACTAGGGAATGTAGTGACCAGATGAATAAGAGTCGAAGTGACAGAGAATCATGGCGCTAATGTTGAGGTTATGTTTGCGGAAGAGAAGTAAATCAGCCTCTTTTATAAGCAGTGCCACCTGATCTCTAGGTATGCTTGTTGCTACTGACCCCTTTCCGTGAGGTTCATGCTCAAACATGTCTCCGTTTTACCTGGAGCCCTTTGCCCCGTCCAACATTTCATTGCCTTGTCTGTGTCGTGTTGCGCGCTTTACAGACACGCCGTGAGAGACAATCCTGTTCAGAACGAGAATCTCTGGCACCTGTTCCTCACCTGGTGAAGTGGTTATACAGCCGTGACCCCGTTTTCTGTAATTAACTACACTTCCTCCGCGCCACATGTGCTCCTTATGGCTACATTAACATGATCCGGACTTTGGAATGTAGTACCACCACGAGTCAATCTTTTGGAATAAGGTAGAGGCATGGGCGCGCCATATCTCAAGCGGTTAGTCGCTGGCTTCCCACCGCGGCGGCCCGGGTTCGATCCCGGTTCTGGTCAAGTGGGATTTGTGGTGGAAAAAGTGACGCTGGGGCAGGTTCTCTCCGAGTACTTCGGTTTCCCTTCCCAATCTTCATTCCACCAATTGCTCCACAATCACCTTTACCTATCATCTGGGGCTGGTACAATGGGCCAGAAGTGGGCGCAGTACAAGGGGCTTAGTCCCACCCCACTAGCAATAAAAAAAAGTAGAGGCATTCGCTTTACATCTTTTATTATACTACAAAGACACTGTCTTCCGGAATTACAGTCCATCTGCGATTATGTCACCCTCCCCATCAATGTTCAGCTGTGTCCGCCTTGAAACAGTATTGGCTGATATCGCGATTTTCGCCTTGATACGGTTATTGACTGCCAGTCACATGTTTGAGAGGAGCTTCACCTCTTGTGTACGTATTTCTGTGCGAATGCAGTCCCGCTAGGCATACTGATATACAGGTGTATTATGAACACTGCAATTTTGCGACTGCGCTCTTCAATGCTTATGTTTTTTTATTGTTAGTGGGGTGGGACTAAGTCCCTTGTACTGCGGCCACTTCTGGCCTATTGTACCAGCCCCAGATGATAGGTGAGTGTGATTGTGGAGCAATTGGTGGAATGAAGATTGGCAGGGGAAACCGAAGTACTCGGAGAAATCCTGCCCCAGCGCCACTTTGTCCACCACAAATCCCATTTGACCAGACCCAGGATCGAAACCGGGCCGCTGCGGTTGGAAGCCAGTGATTAACCCCTTGAGCTATGGCCCGGCCTCTATGCTTATGGTTGAAAAGAAAACGTGACGACAGCGCTAAAATTTTCCACTAGAGTTGGGGCTGAATTACGTCACAAGCAGGCGGGTCCATGGATAATTAAACTGTGGGTCCAGTATTAGTAGCGTTATATTTCCTACCCCGTCATAACCCGGTTTTCTGGAATTGAGCTGAACCATTTCCTACGGCCGTGACGTAACTCGGGTGCATGAAGTTGAGAAAGGGCAGACCGCTGTGGGCCTAGCACTCCTCACTAGGGGCCGTCATGAGTAATGTGAGAATCGCGAAGCGCGTCCACAGGTATATCCTTGTCATCACTTCAGCTCATTAACGAGACCCTAGGGGCAGCGCAGCCGGTGCTTCATGCCAGGGCCATCACCTTGTTCTCTCTTTTTCTTGGCGCTCCGCGATTTGGAGTATCCTTGTACTCCATCTTGAGGTCTCAGTCTTGCGTGCAAATTGCCCAGATGTGAGTTCGCGTTGGTTGCTATAATTAACAACTGCCTGCTTGCCTGCGTTCCTTAGGCAGAGGTCGAACACCGTGAAAGCCAGTGACCAGAGAAAACACACTTATGCTTCTTACCTTCAAGGTCCTAACTACATGGTGCAGTATGCAGACGATATCTCGCAGAGATATTCCTGGGTATTACGGGCTCCACAATTTCATTGGACCCTGTTCAGAACAATCTTATTCCAGTTCATAACCGCGAAACATATTCTGCCCTGATTTATGGCAACATGTGTTCATTCTCGTGTCCATGAATTTCGGAAGAAATAACCTATATCCAGCTAATTACGTAAAAAAAGGAAGGGTAAAGCTATCTATGTGCCAGTCACAGTAGCCGAGCGGACTGAGGCATGTACTGTCTTCGCTCGCTTGGAAGCCGGGATCGTGGGTTCGGATCTGTTTCCTGTGAGGTACGAACTGAATTGTTATATATTATTCTTATACACTGCCGGTCACGGTAGCCGAGCGGTCTAAGGCATGTACTGTCTTCGCTCGCTTGGAAACCGGGATTGTGGGTTCGGATCTGTTTCCTGTGAGGTACGAACTGAATTGTTATATATTATTCTTATACACTGCCGGTCACGGTAGCCGAGCGGTCTAAGGCACGTACTGTCTTCGCTCGCTTGGAAACCGGGATTGTGGGTTCGGATCTGTTTCCTGTGAGGTACGAACTGAATTCTTATATATTATTCTTATACACTGCCGGTCACGGTAGCTGAGCGGTCTAAGGCATGTACTGTCTTCGCTTGCTCGGAAACCGGGATCGTGGGTTCGAATCCCATTCAGGGCATGGATGTTTAGTTTCTGTGTGTGCGTTTTTCTGTGTTTGTGTACAGGTAGAGGCCTTGCGACGAGCTGATCACCCGCCCAAGGAGTCCTACCGAATGAGTAAGATCTAGAAAAACCGAAGTGAACGGAGAAGTTCATGGAGGTAGGCCTAGGCCCACTGGGGCTGTAGTGCGAAGGAAAAAAAAGAAAAAGCTATCTATGTAACAGGGCGTGGAGGCCTATAAGTTTGTGAGACGTCGAGGATCCCACATCTTCCAGATAGTCAACTAACAGATGGCAGTAAGTTTGTCAGCCTTACTCGCCGGCCGCCCTTAACCCCAGGAAGATCCCTGATATTCGTTTATGATAGAGGCTGAGTCGACCCCAGGGGCATAGTGCGGCTGGAAGGATTAGGTCAGTTGAAAAAAAAGACCTCCAACGACCTCGTCGGGAATCAAACCCGCGACCTTCCGGCTTGTAGCATAGTGCTTCAACCAACTACGCTACCGCGTGGTCCGTAACGGATTACGTGGTAGAGGCCATTCCTTCATCAGATTATGTTTACCTAATCGAGACATATCTCATTTTTATCAACTACAATTTCATTATATTCATTTCAGAAGCAGTCCAAAGCAACTTATATGAATATTACAGCGCCATATTCATCCGGCTTAAACAATTCTATCGCGCGTTAGGTCAGGGCCGAAGAATAATCCGGGCAAGAACCCAGTGGCTCTGCTGGTCACTTGTTTCCCGCTCCGCTTATTCCACCCTGAAAATGGAAGCGATATATTCCTCCGAAACGTTGGGTGATTTTCAACAGACTACACTGCGTTATACTGTTCATAACCACCGCTATGAGCGTCTAAGTCCCTACTTATGTGCAGACTGAACTGCACATTGTGCGAACCAGTGACAGCGCTGTAGTCACTTGTAGTCACGATCTGTAAGTGTTCAATTCAAACCCCGTCTGTAGTCATTCCATCACGTGACAAACAATTAATTACTTTGATGTCCGAAACAATTATCTGTCACAATTTCAACGGCTTTGCACCGAGCTGCATGCAATATTGGTAACCGTTTAGACTTGTATTTGCGGGGGAGGGCGCTTTGTTAGAATCTTGGCAGGGAGAGGGAAAAAATTGGTTGACGATTTTCGTGGATTTCCTCTGTCCTTCCAAGAAAATTTCGGGACAATACCTCGGTCAGGTCACGATTTCGTCCTTCCAGACGGTTTCAACTTCATTATTGGCTAATCATTTTGCCTTACGACTGAGATGAAGATACGTCAAAGTCAACGGCGTTATGATAGCAAACATAAGACAGTTCTGTGTGTATAAACCTAAGTAGAATTTGCGAAGAAGAATAACAATATATCTCGTATAGAGAGTGGTCTGCCATCTACCTCACTACAGAGCTCAATAAACTAAACTTCGAAAATCATAAAGACATATTTGACTTACCTACCGAATGTACACCTCACGATATTGCGTGATGCTGACGTCATCTGTACAGAAGTTCAAACGCCTGAGGGGGGAAAACAAAATTAAAATACGCGTGACGTACACACGGAAAGTGAATATAGCTATGTACATACGTATTGCTAGTGGGGGGGGGGACTAAGCCCCTTGTACTGCGGCCACTTCTGGCCTATTGTACCAGCCCCAGATGACAGGTGAGGGTGATTGTGGAGCAATTGGTGGAATGAAGATTGGCAGGGGAAACTGAAGTACTCGGAGAAAACCTGCCCCAGCGCCACTTTGTCCACCACAAATCCCACTAGACAAGACCCGGGCTCGAACCTGGGCCGCTGCGGTGGGAAGCCAGCGACTAACCGCCTGAGCTATGGCGCGGCCGGCTGTACATAACTAACTAACTAACTAACTAACTAACTAACTAAATGGTAACGGAAGCAGGAGTTTCGACGCTAACAATAAAGTCCTTTGTTGGCCGCATTTTGAGCCAGTTCTATGGATCTTCCATCAGCAGAACCTCGTTCCTTAAACCATAAAAAGAAAAGCTAACCCTGTAACAGGCCGTTGAAGACCCTAGGTTTGTGAGACGTCGCGTCTTCCGCAATCATACAATCGGCTCACAGATGGCGGTGAAGTTGTTAGCCTTACGTGCTGTACCCCCCAGGAAGATTCCTGGTACTCATTTCTGTTAGAGGCTCCATAGTTCGGCTGGAAAAGTAAGATCCGTTAAAAAATCCAATGACGTTATTGGGAATCGAACCCGCGACCTTCCGGCTTGTAGCATAGTGCCTCAACCGCGTGTCTCTCTAGAAACCATTCTAATGATATTATTCAAACTCCTCAGATGTCCACTGTTCAACAGATTCTCGATTGAAAATCCTTTCTTGCCACCTTCATGACAGCCACACACCAGGAAAACCGTTAAGCGCATGATTTTATTGTGCAAGTGTGTACATCACACGTGTAGCCTATACGGAGACATTTTGCTATTATTATTATTATTATTATTAGGTTAAGAATGTTCACGTCTTGTCTGTTTCCCTGAGAACTGGAGGTTAAAACACAAAAGATACTTTGCGAGTTTTTTTTTTTGCGTCCGAAGAAATAATATTACAATTTTTGCATCTGAAAATGTGAAGGGCGCCTAAATATAATTTACATTTCGGTTCATTGTTGCAGAAAAATATCTCAAAATCGATCAGTTGATGATTTGTTGGGAACAATTTCTACAACATTTCACGTGCGTGGCTGCAATGAAAAGTTAATAATGATCATAGAAAGGAAAATTAGATCAGTTACCGTTGTAGCGCACTATACGAAAATATTACCCCATCAAAGAAATGGTATATTTTTCAGAAATTTATTAAGGCACAAAATTTCTGATCCGTTTATTGATAACTAATTGTGCCCGTTCCAGCTTATAGATTCGCGGGACCACCATGTTCGTAGTTATGATTGGAGGGAATTAAGAATTGTAACGCTAGAAATAAGGGACACGCGGTAGCGTAGTTGGTTGAGGCACTACAAGCCGGAAGGTAGTAGGTTCAAGTCTCGATGAGGTCATGGGATTTTTTTTTCAATTGACCTAAACTTTCCAGCCGCATTATGGCCCTGGGGTCGACCCAGCCTCTAACAGAAATGAGTACCAGGAATATTCTTGGGGGTAAGGGGCGGTCGGCGCGTAGGGCTGACGACCTCACCACCATCTATGAGCCGATTGTCTAAAAAATGTGGGAACCTCAACGTCTCACAACCCTACGGGCCTCCACGGCCTGTTACAGGGATACCTTTACTTTACTTACTTTTTTAACTCTAGAAATGAACCCCAGTAACATGACGTTCTTACCAAGTTTCATAAGAAACCGTCAATTTGTACACAGGTTACTGTGGGAGGAAGGCAGGCACAAGATGACCCCATACAGGCTAAAGTTCAGACTGTGGGGTTGACCTCAAGTGGTCCAAAAGGTAGAGGGGGTCAGGCACAAGCACGGCCAAGTTTAAGACTGTTTCTGAAATATGGGAAGTGGGAACAGGCAAAGTAGGGAATTAGAACATGGGGTAAATTTAACAGTGGACGCAGCGTGAGCGGCTGAGCCGTGTCATTATCTCGCGCACAAGGCCGGGTGTCTGACGGCTTCTGCTGACAGCGAGCAGACCCAGAGAGCACATAACGAATCGCTTGACCTCCAGGTACCGTAATAACTTCAAATGTCAAGTGGACGATGACCACTTTAGTCTACTTTCATTTCTTCAGGAAAGAAAATAAGCTTATGAGATCACCTTACTGTCGCTGTTTGTCATTGCACCCCCGCAACACTTTGATGAATGATTTTCACGAAGTCTGATATGAACGGTATGCAGCCATCAATTTTGAAGACTGTCACTTTTCTTCTACTGGTAATAACAACATGGCGGATGTATACAAATTTTTGAGGTACTAGCGGCAGTTAATACAGGCTGAGTCGACCCCAGGACCATAGTGCGGCTGGAAGAATTAGTTGCCTGTAGTCCGCAAGCGAACTATACCGACCGAGCGACAGCCGCTTGTCGGCGAAGTTAGTACCAACTTTAGCGGATAGAGGATGTCGCGTGGTCAGCGCAACGGATCCCCACGGCCGTTAATCTCGGTTTTCTATACCGGAGCCGCTATTTCCTTGAAATTTCCTCAATTATCCTCACGAGGTTGAGTGGACCCCGTTACAGAACCACTACTTCTCAGAAAATTTGTTAGCGCCGGAAATCGAACCCGAGACATCTGGGTATGTAGCCAGGAATTCTGACCACTAGACCACAGAGGCGGTCGCCTGGAAGAATTACATGAGTTACAAATTCCAGTGCCCTCATAGGGAATAGAATTCGTGATCCTACGGCTAGTAGCACAGTGTCCCAGTGAAGGGCTACAGACTGCCAAAAATGGTAAAGGAATTGTGCCCGTCGGAAGACTGGAATCGAACTGGAATGTGAGAAGAGCAGAAATGAAGAACCGGAAACTGTGGCTGGTGAGGCAAGGGTGGAGGCTGGTGCCTCTCACACGAGCCACACAAGGGGATGCGAGGGGCCTTGTCTCGTGGATAGGGTCAACTCCAACATGAACACAATATAGAAAACTAAACGGGTTTTCGGGAAACATTTCTTGAGGCCACAGTTCTACTTCGAACTTTCAAAACTGGAAAACATACCCTTATATTTAAGAAAATAAAATATCCTACCTAGGTCGGTATAGCGATGGGCTACTGGACGGCCCGTGTTCGAATCCCTTATCAGTTCCACTGCCTCCAGAGCTGTTCGGGGACCCCCCAGCCTCCTATTCAAAGGGTAACGGGAGCTTTATCTCTGAAGGTAACGCGGCCAGGGCGTGAAGCTAATCACTTCCCTTCATCTAGTGACGAGATCAAGAATGCTAGAACTATGCTTGCGCTCTCCCCCCTACGTCATCATGGAGTGGTGCTTAATTAATTAAGCACAGGGGCAACTAATCCCCCCATACAACAAATAATTTAAAGATTGAAGAAGAAAGGTTATTCAGAGCTAGAAACATCGCATTCTAACGCAGCGTATTACTGGATATCGTAAAAAGAAGAGAGAAAACACCACCTCCTTGTTTGGGAGACCTATGCTCTACAGTCTACACTCCTTGCTTCCGAGGCCTGTGGTCTACACTCCTTGTTTGCCAGGTCTGTGGTCTACATTCCTTGCTTCCGAGACCTGTGCTCTACACTCCTTGCTTCCGAGGCCTGTGCTCTACACTCCTTGCTTCCGAGGCCTGTGGTCTACACTCCTTGTTTGCCAGGTCTGTGGTCTACATTCCTTGCTTCCGAGACCTGTGCTCTACACTCCTTGCTTCCGAGGCCTGTGCTCTACACTCCTTGCTTCCGAGGCCTGTGGTCTACACTCCTTGTTTGCCAGGTCTGTGGTCTACATTCCTTGCTTCCGAGACCTGTGCTCTACACTCCTTGCTTCCGAGGCCTGTGCTCTACACTCCTTGCTTCCGAGGCCTGTGGTCTACACTCCTTGTTTGCCAGGTCTGTGGTCTACATTCCTTGCTTCCGAGACCTGTGCTCTACACTCCTTGCTTCCGAGGCCTGTGCTCTACACTCCTTGCTTCCGAGGCCTGTGGTCTACACTCCTTGTTTGCCAGGTCTGTGGTCTACATTCCTTGCTTCCGAGACCTGTGCTCTACACTCCTTGCTTCCGAGGCCTGTGCTCTACACTCCTTGCTTCCGAGGCCTGTGGTCTACACTCCTTGTTTGCCAGGTCTGTGGTCTACATTCCTTGCTTCCGAGACCTGTGCTCTACACTCCTTGCTTCCGAGGCCTGTGCTCTACACTCCTTGCTTCCGAGGCCTGTGGTCTACACTCCTTGTTTGCCAGGTCTGTGGTCTACATTCCTTGCTTCCGAGACCTGTGCTCTACACTCCTTGCTTCCGAGGCCTGTGCTCTACACTCCTTGCTTCCGAGGCCTGTGGTCTACACTCCTTGTTTGCCAGGTCTGTGGTCTACATTCCTTGCTTCCGAGACCTGTGCTCTACACTCCTTGCTTCCGAGGCCTGTGCTCTACACTCCTTGCTTCCGAGGCCTGTGGTCTACACTCCTTGCTTCCGAGGTCTGTGCTCTACACTCCTTGCTTCCGAGGCCTGTGGTTTATGCTCCTTGCTTCCGAGGCCTGTGCTCTACACTCCTTGCTTCCGAGGTCTGCGGTCTACACTTCTTGCTTCCGAGGCCTGTGGTCTACACTCCTTGCTTCCGAGGCCTGTGGTGTATGCTCCTTGCTTCCGAGGCCTGTGCTCTACACTCCTTGCTTCCGAGGTCTGCGGTCTACACTTCTTGCTTCCGAGGCCTGTGGTCTACACTCCTTGTTTGCCAGGCCTGTGCTCTACTCTTCTTTCTTCCGAGGCCTGTGGTCTACACTCCTTGTTTGCAAGGCCTGTAGTCTATGTACAGCACGAGGTAGCAAAGGTCTGCTTTGTTAATTCTCACACACAGCTCACAGCACATCAGGAAAGAGCAGAAATCGATCTCTTCTCTAATGATCCATATGCAGGGTGTAGCGCCT